TTTCTTATTTCTTCTTCTTTCTTTCCCTCTTTCTTTCCTTCTTTCCTTCTCTCTACTCTCTACTCTCTCTCTTTCCTTCCCTTTTTCCTCCTCCTGTGGCCCAACACTCCCCCCCCAGGCCAGCTGGAGAAGGGAAGGGGAGGCTTTTGAAGATGCCTCCCCCTTTTGCTTCCCCTTCTGACATCACTTCCGGTGATGTCAGGGAGCATGGCATATGCTAATAGCCTGCAGCTCTTTTTCTACAAAAAGACCCCCAGTTATACCTAATGATTGGTATTTTATAAAGCTGTGCACTTTGTGGCAAAGGAAAACCTTAGTCAATTTCATTTTCACTTCTGAGTCTTGGAGCTTTGAAGGTATGCTCCTCCTCTACTGAAATCTGCTCATTGGAGCTTACTCTAGGGTTGGCAGGGGATGTGGGTGACTTACCAAAAGAAAGAGGAAGGCTCAGGCCATGTTACTAGTGTTGCACAGGAAGTGACATCATCATGCTACAATGCTCTGGTATTTGGGCAAAAAGTCTATGGTACAAACAGCTTCTATCATAGAGTTTTTGCCCAAATACCAGAGTTTCATCAGGATGTTGCTGATGTTATGACATCATTTCCTGTGCGATGTTGGCAATGTGGCCTAGGTCTTCCTCTTTCTCCTGGTAAGTTCCCCTGCTGGCCAGCTGATTGGTGGCTTGGGGGGCAGGGCCTGCTTCCGCCACAGGGTCTGGCAACCCTAGCTTACTCCCAGGGAAGTGTTCTTAGGATTTCAGTGCTAGGGAGCAATCTTAAACTGGTCTACTGAAAAATAAGGCTAATGCTGTTCAGTGGGGTTTACTCCCAGGAAAGTGGCTTTACTAGTGTGGTCTAAGAGTACACACCAAGTATCCTGAAGAGTAATATTTTCCCACAGGACAATTCCTTCCCTCCACAAATGCATGTGTGATTCTGCATTCTGCAGTAGTTACTGTGTGACTTCTATTTTTATAGGCTTTGAAAGATTATAGTATTACTCTTCTTCTTGAGCCAAAAAAGGACATTGTCTTGAAAGTGTTGGTTAACCGGGCAGTAATCTACACTGAACTTGATCAATATGCCAATTCACTGGAGGTATATATCTTTTTCCTAATAGAATAGATAAGAAATTCCAGATTCTGTGTGTGTATTTTGGCTTGGTTTGTACTGCTTTTATGATGTGTATCTGGTTTTAATGGTTTTAAAGACTTTTGGGGGGTATTTTACATTTTTGTTTATGTGTGTGTGTGCGTGCGTGCGTGCATGTGCCCATGCCTGAAAGTCATACCTCTGGCGACTCCTACTGGGCCACAGAAGACATTCAGAGAAGTGGCTTGATAGCCCACCTCTAGCCTCCTGGCCCTGGTATTCTCTGGAGGTCTCCCATCCAAATTCTTGCCAGGGTTGGCTCTGCTTAGCTTCCGAGAACTGATGAGATCAGGCTTCCCTGTGCTATCCAGGTCAGGGCTTTAAGGCGAGTCTTTATTATGTATGTTTTTAAGCTATTGGACATTTTTAAAGCCCTGATGATGGCAGAAAAATGTGGTATAAATCTTGTAAAGAAATAAAAATACAACACATTTGGTGTTGCTGTGGATATGGAGAGTTGTGCTAGTGTGACAATTACTTTTTTGGATGGTACCTGTGAAATAAATGTCAGATACTTCAAAACATTTCTCTGTTTTTAGGACCTTACAGAGGCGACATTGAGTAAACCAAAAGACAGTCAACTATTCCAAGCTCTTGGAATCTGCTATCACAGGTAATATTAATTACTCACTGATGTGAGTGAGTTTAGAAATGTGTATATGGTGAAGTTTACAGAGAAAAGGGATAACAAAATGAGCAAGAAACGCAGGAAGAGGGAAGTTTTTCTGTTGTTCAGAAACCATACATCTTTTATTTATCTTTTGCAATGATTTGTTATGTGTTTTGTTCCTTTCTTAATGGTTGCTAGGAAACAGAATTCCTTAGATAGCTGTTTGGCCAGGTACCAGATTGGAAAATCAATAGGCTTGATATATGCTGTTTTGACAATTGAATGATTCAAAATTCTATAGTGGCCGAATTACTGAACATTTGGTAGTAGTTATCCAAAATATATTCTGATGTTTCATTCTTTCTTATTTCTGTTGCTTTTATAACATCAGAATTCATTTATAATGACAGAAGTCTTCCAATAGATGCTGAACCTACTGGGTTTGCATCTCTTCTGGTTTTATTTCTTACCAGGGGTCATTTCGTAGAAAAAGAGCGGCAGGAGCTCATTAGCATACCTAATAAGCTATTAGCATAATAGCTCATTAGCATATGCCACGCCCACTTGCATCACCGGAAGTGGTGTCAGGAGGGGAAGCAAAAGGGGGGGAGGCATCTTCAAAAGCCCCCCTTCCTTTCGCCAGCTGTGGTGCGACTCCAGAGAGAAGGGGTTTAAAGTTTAAAATTCGCTTCCCCCCCCCCCAGCCCGCCTTGGCAGGCGGGCTGGGGAAGGGGCAGGGCCAGACCCAGGTTTTTCTGCACACTAGGCGAGGCTACCTTCTGTCACCCCCTTCCCCCCCGTGCACCCACCAATTTTCAAACATAAATGCATTTTAGGAAGAATGAAAAACAAAATTTGAAATTGCTAATTTTTTTTTGTTTGTGAGCGAGCGATTTGGCTACTGTATAAATTAGTTTGCTCTGGAGCCATCCTTCCTGAGCTAAGACAAAAATCTGTAAGTTGGAGGCTAAAAAACTGTGAGCTAGCTCATACTAACTCAGCTTAGAGGGAACACTGCTGGCAACCCTATGACATAATGAACCTCAGGCCAGAAAAAGCTGCTTCTGCACTTACTTGTATAGCAGGAATTTATTTATTTTTTTGGCTATCTGATATATCTCAGGCTTTGTTGTTTTTTGCCCCTCCCCGTACTGAAGAAAGTTTTAATTTTTACTGAGACAATGCTCATCAACAAAATTCCAGGAGAGGACTTTTGCTGGCATTGCCTTTTTAATCAAGTGTTTCTTGCTTCTTGGGAGCCTCAGATGCTTTAAGAAGTGGCTCAGCTTTTCAGACTTAGAAGCAGTTATATTTAGTTCACCTTTTGAAATATCAGGCTTCAGAAATTCAAGGTTAGCTCATATTTTAGACAAATGAATTTTAGCATTTTCTTTATCCACTGATGATAGCAGCAAGTTATATCTTGGGTCAATTTAACTGCAGGATCTTCATTGAGATTACTAATGTTTTAGCAAAAGATGAATGTTGATGTGCCAAGTTGCCAACTTGGCTGAGACTGAAAAAAGTCACCTATTGTAAGTTTCTGATTGAAGTGCATTTGTTGATAGATTAGCAGGCATTTAATGTCTCAGTAATATTTTAATGACATCCCATTTCACATCAGTTGTATAAAAGACTTGATCTGACACAGTCACATTCAAGCATATTATATGTGGAATACCATTAAGGACAACATATGACCGTTGTTGTTGTTGTTTTACTTTAAACTTTTCTTGATTAGTAATTAGTAGTGGTTGAATTCCTAAGTCTTTTTGAAAAGTAAATATCCTTTCCCCACTATATTGTTGGTGGAGCTATTCATTATCATAGCATCTTCAACAGCAAGTTGTGATGTATCAGCACAACACCAAACTCCATGCACAGTAACACTATTCACTCCTACCATGCTGAATTATTGATCACCTGAAGCTGCTAGACTTGTTACGTAATATCTCCTAAGGTCTCTTTTCCACACAAGGTCTCATCATCTTCTTCATTCTCATTATCTTTATCTTCTAAAGCAGGGCTCCCCAACATGGTACCCAGGGGCACCATGGCACATGCCAACACTTTTTCTGGTGCCCACCAAGTGTTTTTTTAGAAAGTAGGTGGTGCTTTTGCCCAGCAAAACTTCTGATTACCCAGTGGATATCTGATTGGCTGTGCAAATTTTTAAAAAATGTTGCTTTGGCAGCAGTTGCCATCACATTAGCCAATCCTGTTTAGATACTATAGAATGGCAGCAAGCAGTAACTATATTGCCTAGAAAACACAAGACACTTGTATCCTTAGTTCAAGAATCCTCAGCCTTGTACCCTTGTTGTGGGACAACAGCTTTTGGATCATCCATACTTCTCTCACACAGAGCCCTATAGATCTGAGCTATTTTATGGCTTTATAGCCAATAGTTGCCATGTTGTGCCTCAAGAAGATGACACTCATTTCAGCTTGATACCAGTTAGGTCAAAAAATTGAAAGCAATATGTTTCACTAAAATTACCAAGTCAGGTTAAGTGTTATTTACTATTAAAAAGCAAAATATTTGAAACATGCAGATAGGATCAGCTTTTGAAAACAATAATTATTCATCTAAGCACACGATACCAAAGGGTAGCTGCATTGGTCTGAAAGCAGCAGATCAAAGTTCGAGTCCAGCGGCATTTTTAAGACCAACAAAGTTCATTCTGGGTATAAGCTTTCATGTGCATGCACACTTCTTCAGATGTCAAAGAGGGGCATTAGCAAAGAAACCTGTTTTTTTTTTTAATCTTATTTCAAAGCATCTGCAGTTGTTAATATTAGGTTCCCAAAGAGAAAACTACACTACGTTTTGGAGCAACAGCATTACCGTGTCTCCCCGAAAATAAGACACTGTCTTATATTTATTTTTTCTCAAGAAGACACACTATGGCTTATACCACAAATGCATAGAAATCCTGCTAGGGCTTATTTTTGGGGTAGGTCTTATTTTCAGGGAAACAGGGTAGGTATGAATATGTAACCATCTTGTTCAAATCCCAGGAAAGCCATGAAGCTCACAAGGTTGGTACAAGACTAGATGACTACCCCCATTCATGTTTTCCTAGGAGAACAGGCAGAACACAAATAACAGGCAGAACACAAACAGGCAGAAGTACAAATAAACGATATTTTGGAACTACAGAAAGGTGATAGTCCTTATCCTCTCTTCGCTCCACAAATAGATTCCAAATCTGGTCGTCCAGAATAAATTGCAATGTAAGAGTTCTCTGTTGTGCTCTGAGGGACTAGGAGCCAATAGAAAACTGACCGGCAAGGAGGAGCACAGGCACAGCTGGGTGAGCGGAGCAGCAGCCTCAGCCTGCAGGGCTTTTGGCAAGATGAGGGAGGGGTCAGATGGGGCTGGCAATGCGTAGGACAGACCCTCGATGGGGGCTTCTTGAGAGAGGATGGTCTTTTTTACCTGTGCCAAAATTAAAATCAAGTAGAGGAAGGTGACGAGGGAGTTGTTTTGAGGACGCGGCCGTGGAAGGCAAGGATGTGCGGCACCTGCCCGCCTGCTCCCCCTGGAGAGGAGCTCACCACGTTCTCCGGCAGGGAAACTCTCTGGGTGATGCTCCCCCCTGCCACTGCCACCCCCCCAATAGTGACAGGGCGGAGACTGTTGAAGAGAACAGCACGGGAGTGTGGGAGGCGAGCCCCCCCATCCCTATTAGCTTTCTCGACCTCTCTCGGCTGAAAATCGCACCGGGGCGAGCTCGCCCAAGAGAACACTCCCCCCCATGCCTGCGAAGTCAGGGCATTTGCAGCAGATTTTCTAGGGCTGATGGTCTTTGGATGGCCGGAAAGAGACAAAACACCCACAAGCTAACTCCTTCCTCCCAGGTCCCAGGGGTCTGGCCCTGGGAAGGGGAGCCTTTTGAAGATGCCCCCCCCTTTTGCTTCCCCAGCCGGCCTGCCAAGGCGGGCTGGGGGGGGGGAAGTGAATAGAGAAGGGGTTTAAAGTTTAAACTACTTATCTCTAGAGTTGTGCCGCTCTCTGCAGCGTGACTCCAGAGAGAAGGGGTTTAAACTTTAAACTCCTTCTCTCTGGAGTTGTGCCGCAGCGGTGGCACCAGGGCTATTTTTGGGCAGGAACACAAAGGAACAGAGTTCCAGCTGGCTTCAGAGTTGGCCACACCCACTACAGCCAAAACCTCTGCCCATGTGTGGTTACAGAGGGAAGGCCTGGAGCGCGACCCCCCCGGTGATTCAGAGGCGGGGGACCAGGGGGGCTGGAAGGATCAGGGAGGCATTTCAATGCCTCCCCATGCCTTCCCTGGCCTGTCCAAGGGCTGGCTTGCCCAGGCTTTCCGCTGCCATGGAGCACCCGGGCAAGCCAAGGGAAGGCAATTTAAACTGCCTTCCCTTTCTTCCAAGGGCTGGCTTGCCTGGGCTCCCTGCAGCCACAGGGTGCCCAAGCAAGCCAAGGGAAGGCATGGGGGTGTGTCCTAATAGGCTAATGAGCTACACTGTTGGGGGTGTGGCCTAATATGCTAACGAGTTTCTGCTGTTGGGTGTGGCCTATTATGCTAATGAGTTTCTGCTGGGCTTTTTCTACAAAAAAAGCCCTAGGTGGCACGATCTCTCCATTCTATTCTATGGGGCCATAGAATACAATGGAGAGATCGTGCTGCGGCGCGACTCTAGATAGAAGGAGCTGGGGGCGGGGCTTGCTACCACCGCCATTTGTGCCAGCTCCTGGGCTCCCCAAACGACCCCTGGTTCTTACGCATAGTAATTGTCAGGTCTATGGATCAGTAGAGTGGTCCTTGTAGAGAATGTGCAATAAAAACAATGCAATATTTCTGTGTCAGCTATGCGACTCTAGAAAGAGTATGAGGTCAAGAGAAAACATTTACAATCTTGCTGTCAAGTTTGTGAGGGAAAATCCTCGATCCACATGCAGAGATTAGATGTATGGATATCCCAGAGCTATAAGGTACAATGACTGTTCAGACTTGTAAATTGTACATAGCACTTCTAATGACTGAATGGAAAGTGATGTAGCACATAGACCCCTCCAGTAAATCCATGTGAAATTTAAAGGTTTTCATTTCTTTATAACATCAGAAGCTGGTATTGTAAAGATTTTGAGGTTTAAAAACCCTTTCAGTTTAAGTGAATAGTTCAACCACAAAAATTCAGCTGTGCTAGAAGAGCACAAGAAGGGAGACCCGCGATACTCGCGGGGGGGGCACTGCACGGCGAGGTTGGGGCTCAACCGGGCAGCCCCGTAGCAGCGGGGGGGGGGGAACACTGCTCGTCGAGGCGCAGGGGACGCTCTTTTTTATTTTGGCAAATTTAAGGACCCTCAGGAATTTTTTTAAACTTTTAAGATTTTTGTGCACCCCTGGGGACTGCCCCAAGAGTGCACAAACCTCCCCCTGCCCACCAGGTGGCCCCGGAGCGCGGATTTAGCGATCCGCACTCACGGGGCCACTTGACTATTAGATATATAGATGGAAATTGTACTTTAAGCCACATGTTCATATAAGTAGTAAACACATTTTCAGTTTTAAATAAATATTATGTTTTGTTATAGATTAAGCCCCATGGACTTTAGACTTACATTGGGGCTTGGGATATGTCCAGGCAGAATTCCACAGGCACAACTTTCCCAATCACTTGCTATATATACACTTAAGGAATTTCTGTACAGTACATCTATAAAAAGAACAGTTGTCCTAATTGTAATACATCTATAAAAAGAACAGTTGTCCTAATTGTAATACAAATTTTACCTGGGAACTTCTTAACCTCCTAACTTTCTTATCCAGTGGATTTTCACCAGACCAGGAAGGGCCATGACCTATAGAAAAAGGATAATTTTTGGCACAAGTTGAACCATACAAAAAGAAAATGTTAAAGGTGTGTTTTCCATGCGCAAAAGATGGTCACAAACTTTACTAAACAAAGGTTAGTAAAAAGGAGGGCCAATATTAAAACCTTTCCATAAAAAATAAAAAGAGGTACATGTATTTATTAATAATAACAAATTTTAAAACATATATAGAGGCCCATTTGCAACCAATGTATATAAAATATTATATAACAATATCCAGGGCTTACAAAGTTGACCTTACGCGTTTCGGCCAAATAGGCTTCTTCAGAGGTCATACATAAGTGGCGAGATAATTATATTTACATAAACACAATCAATAATATATACAAAGTATAAATTCAACGAGGACCATAAAGTAGATTGTTCAAAAGTAAAATCACCAGGCACAAGGTAAGTATGCACATAAGGCCTTTAAAGTGCAATCACTAGCCCAGTGATTATAAATTTGTGGTCCAAAAATGTAAAAAGCACTGCTTTTTACTTATGAATGCTGTGGCAACACACAATCAAAGAAGGACATTTTTGGACCACAAATTTATAATCACAGATATGCTCATTTACCACTTGACCTCCACTCGCTTGATGGGGTGTGTATAGCTTAGTCCTTGCTGGAACACAGCAGAGAGACCGTCAGAGCTCAATTTCCCGACGGGGTGCCAGGAAAGAGGCGACTCTCAGTGATCCATGACTGGAGACCCTTCGCAAGGGCCCCCAGGGGATGTGAACATTCACGCCCCCTCTCTAACTGCTAGTTTGCGAGCCACATCCATGGGAGATCCCAGGAGACACCGCCGCCATTCGCTCGCCGAAACCCCACCTCCGAATGAAGATAATTCTCAGGAAGTTTTACCATGTGGTGATGCTCTCATAAGACCACTTTACTATTTGCAAGTTGACCACTCGTGAGGTTATTCCATAGTAAAAAGTCAAATATGTCTCATACATTAAATGGGGCAGTATTGGCATTTAGTCATGCCGGCCACATGACCACGGAAATGTCTTTGGACAGCGCTGGCTCTTTGGCTTGGAAATGGAGATGAGCACCGCAACCCTAGAGTCGTATTTGACTGTCTTTCGAGCAAGGGAAACCTTTACCTTTACCTATGTAACTAAAATGCAGACAGAAGGGGGGGGGGAATCTATCTGTCTGTCTGTCTATCTATCTATCTATCTATCTATCTATCTATCTATCTTCTATCCACCTTGATAAAAGAAACAATTAAAAAATATTTTTTTCTCGAAAAGAGCTTTCACAAACTTGTCAAAATTATATTTAGGCCCATATTTCCACAGCAGTGCTTGCCTTTTTAAAATGAGCACATGTTATAGCACGGCAAGTAGATAACTGCCAATGAACATCTACTATTTATAAATCATTTTATGTGGCATTCATATGAAAATAATACTGATTCAGAAACCAGCCGTGGAATTAATTATAATTTTATATAGGTTACATTTTAGTTTTGAGGAATTATGTTAATGTTATGTCTTCCATTGTAAGTAAAATAATACTTAATAGCAGTGTTGCTAATGAAATATTAACTATCAGATCCATGTTGATTTTAGGCTTCAAAAGTATGAAGAAGCTGTGAAGTCATTTTCTACAGTGCTTAGATTAAATCCCTTTTCTCTGGATGGCTATATTGGACGAGGGAATTCATACATGGAATATGGTCATCAGGCTGGTTCAAAACAGGCCCAGAAAGATTTCTTGAAAGCAATACACTTGAATCCATTATGCATAAAGGCCAGACTTTGCTTAGGATACAACTTACAGGTAAGTTATGTACATCTATGTCGTAATACTCTGCTACCAATAAAAGCAAAATTAATTAATCAGACAGACAGAAATTGTTGGTATGGATTCTGTCAGCCTTCTGGTGGCTTTTGGTATTCTGGAGCTGACAAAGGCAACTGTAAACAACAGTCAAATTGGCACCTGGTGCTTGGGGTACTGTCCTTCCATGCTCCTGAAGTTTTACAGTTCAGAGTTCTGATGTAAGATGCTGGACTGTGCCTTTGGTTACAGTTAAGTCAAAGAATCTTTTTGTAGTATACCATAACTGATATTAATGTGGGGACCAGGGGCTAGGTAAGAGAGATTATAGAGATCTAGGAAATGCCATCGCTAAACCAGTTATCCAGCATTTACTCAATATTCTGTACAGTGCTGAAAAAGAACAGCATGGAGGATATCGGCCACGTCAGTCCCTTTCTGGGAATAGACAGCAATATCAATCTAGACAACGGTACGACTCTGGACAGCAGCGTGTCAGACCGAAACCACCCAAACCCGGCAAACAGGGCCTTTGACTTCTGCCTTTCTACCTCTTCCGACCCTCCCCGCCTCCATCCCTATCTACATGCCTGGACCGCCATTATGTCGGACCAATGGGTCCTTTCCATCTTGACCAGTGGCTATTCCATCGAATTTATGGAACTCCCACCTCTCCCTGTAGTAGTCACCACACCCCCGTCGTCATTCCTTCTCGAAGAAGTCGCCACACTTTTATCAAAGGGTGCCATAGAACCTGTGCCTCTAGACCACCAGGGCCTCAGTTTCTATTCCCGGTACTTTGTGGTACCGAAAAGGGATGGAGGGCAGAAGCTGATCTTAAACCTTTGCAGCCTCAATGCCTATATATGATACCGGAAATTCAAGATGACATCTCTACCAGTCATTCTACCTCTCCTGTCCAAGGGTTGCTGGATGGCCACTCTCAACCTCGAGGATGCCTATTTCCATTTGACCATTCACCCCTCCCATCAAAAATATCTCCGATTCGTGATAGGAGGCAGCCACTATCAAGACAAAAGTCTACCATTTGGCCTCAGCACAGCACCCCAGGTCTTCACTAAGACGATGGTGGTCGTTGTCGCACACCTCCACCTCTGTGGTCTTATGGTGTTCCCATATCTCGACGACTGGCTTCTGGTCGCACCTTCCAGGGCCCTTCTCATACAGCATGTATCCCAGGCTCTCGATGTCCTTCGTTGCCTCGGTCTCCAGGTCAACCACAAAAAGTCGCATCTGGTTCCATCTCAGAGAGTGCAGTTCATAGGGGCAATACTCGACTCCACGGAAGGCAAAGCTTTCCTGCCCCGGGACAGAGCCCTCACTGTAGCTGCCTTTGCAGAACAGGTTCGGCTACACGACATGTTGTCTGCGTTCCACATTCAGTGCCTTCTGGGACTCATGGCAGCTACGATTGCAGTCATTCGCTTCGCAAGACTGTGAATGCATCCACTTCAGCTCTGGTTCCTAAGACACTTCAAGCCCCTACGAATGAGCCAGTCAGTTCATCTCTCTCCATCACAGGAAGCACGCAACTCCCTTCTCTGGTGGACACTGGCGGACAACCTGATATGGGGTGTCCCTTTCCATCCCCTCACTCCTGGTCTCACCCTCACAACCGACGCCTCGCTGTGGGGATGGGGAGCCACCTCAACCTGGGAACTGAAACATGCCGCCTGGAAAACTGCCTTTCTCATTGCCATTACCTCAGCCAGGAGGGTGGGCGAACTCGTGACCCTTCGTCATAACCCAGCCTTCCTTGTCTTCCTACCGGATGGTGTGAGACTGGTACCTGACTTCTCTTTCCTGCCTAAAGTAGTCTCCGAGTTCCATCTTAGCTCAGAGATCTTCTTGCCGAACTTCTTTCCTAGCCCGAAAGATGGCCAACAGCGTCTCCTCCATGCACTAGATGTTAAGAGGGCGCTACTTTTCTACCTGGACAGGGCACTTTCAAGTAGAAGGGACAATCACTTATTTGTCTCCTACTCCAGTCACTTCACAGGACAAAAGATCTCAGCACAACATCTCTCCAAATGAATTGTTGAGACTATTAAGCTGTGCTACCAGTTGGCTAAATGCTCGTTGCCCTTGCCTGTGCGAGTGCATTCCACAAGAAGGATAACAGTCTTTTTGTCTGTTTTTGTGGCCCAAAGAAAAGCAAGACTGTATCCACACAGACCTTTCACAGTGGGTGGTTTCAGCTATTCAGTTGTCATACACTGGATCAGGTAGGGAATGTCCATGTAAAGTTAGCACACATTCCATGAGATCTCAGGTCAAATCAGCAGTGGTGGCATCTGGACTGCCTCTATTGGATGTCTGCCTGGTCCACGCCATTGATCTTCATCCACCATTACACTGTGGATGTTGACTCAAGGAGTGAGGCAACTGTGGCAAGAGCAGTTCTACACATTGTTTCATCAATGAGCCTACACCCTCCTCCTTGGTGAATCATCTTGCCATTCTCCCATAGGGGACTGCACAAAAGCCATGAAGATGAGAAAGAGGTTTCACTTACCTGTAACTTGTTCATCGAATAGTCTTCTGTGTAGGCATTTTGAAGGGTTTAAGAAAAAGGGTCTTCCCTCAAATTCCTGGGCTAAGCAAATAGCCAAAATGTACCTTCTCAACAGCATGAGACAGACAAGGTTTCTTCAAGGGAAGAATAAACACATTACCAGGGCTACTCAGTCAGTGAAGGGAAATAAAAACAGAGGGAAAATCTTGCCCAAGAAGAAAGGGAAGGGGACGGGATCTGTCATAGCCCTCTTCTGGGTTGCCACCCACCTAATCTCAGAAGATGAGGGCACCTAAAGAGGGCCTCCGAAGATGACCAAAGTGGTCGGGCATTTTCATAAGGGGGTAGGTGGTCCTTTAGGTATGGGTTGAATGTAATATGAGAATTACTAAATACATGTTTAAGGAAAAATCAAGTATATGCTATACACAGATTGTATGTGCATTTGTTGTAAGTTGTGAACAGTGTCACTATACAAAAGTTAGAGGAGGCTACATGGAACTCACATATTGCTTCCCTCATTAGGACAGAATGCTTAATACTTGATTTCCACAATGCCTTTTCTGCAGATTGGCAAATCTAAAGAGTGAAGCAGACAGTTACTACAACTGATGATGTTAATGGTGATGTTAACTTATTTTAGGGTCTTGGAAAGTTTCAAAAAGCTTGGCAACAGTTTTCAGTAGCGATTCACATTGATCCAGAATGTCACATTGCTTATGATGGGCGTGCTGTAGTTTGTCTTCAGATGGGTGATACATTTGCTGCCTTTCAAGATATAAATACTGCACTAAAGGTAAAGATTTATATTACATCTGCTCTTGTTCAGCTGCTGATTCCAGTTATCCTTTCCCAGTAGTTACAGTTCTTTTTCCCTTTTACCAATCCCCTTTCCCATTTCTGTTATATTACTTTGCAGTTCCATCACTCATCTATCGATGCTTCATCATACTATTTTCTCCTGTGTTAATCCCTGTTCCTTCCCCCAAGTTTATAATTTACACCTTGCAGATCAGCCCTTCCCAAAATTTCCTAACTTTTGGGATCACTTACCTCCCTTGCCCTCGATACATGCACAAACTATTTCCATCCTTGACTAGTTGAGGACCAGGACCACTTTAACCTTGGTCCAGTCCTGCCCAGCTAACTTTTAATTATAATTAATTGTCATCATCATTATGCCCTTTAAGAGAGGAGAGCTTGACAGTGGGGAATTTGGAAGAAAATGGACTTGGTGACTGGCCAGTACTTCTGGGCCAGGCTAGTTTTCTTCTTCCTCCCTCTGGCCTATTCCTCTGGTGTCCTGTTGATTATTATCTTAGTATATTCAGTGTGATTTTGGAGTGGGTAGCGAATTTGGTATTACTGGGATGTTTGGGGTATTGGATGGTTAGCTGAGTTGGCGTTGTTTACATTCTTAGTTTCTTTAATATGTGTAAAGTGACTACATTTGGTCAGACATATAACAGACCACTGTGCATGTGTAAAGGAGGTATGATAATGGGAGGAGTCTTTGTGCAGAGACAGGAGAATAGATTATTCCTGATGATCATTGTCAGAATGACCCCAGAATCCAAGCAGGGGGGGAGGGAGCAAGAGTCACTGCTGCCCCCCCTGCCACTCAAGAAGTGCGTGAATCCAAGCAGGGGGGGAGGGAGCAAGAGTCACTGCTGCCCCCCCTGCCACTGAAGCAGTGGTTGAGCTGGGGAGGCATTGGGGAGAAGGACAGATGGATGGGTGAATGGGGGAGGAACCAGAGACACCACTGCTGCTGTGTAAGCCACTAAGGGGCAGCAATGCAAGAAGGTGAAGGAGCTGCTAACACTGCTGCTGGGAGGAGCTGGTGAGTGGGTAGGTGAGGCAGGCTGGTGGATAGCTAGCGGAGGGGGAGGGAAGCAGTGGCAACACTGCTGATAGGGGGGACTGCCCAGCAAGTGGCTGGCCCAGCAGGCAAGTGGTGGGGAGGATGGGATCCCCATGAGTCTCCAGGGTCACCACTTGCACAAATTCAAAAAGCCAACCAATGTAGTAGTTGTACAACCTCAAGGAGGTAGGCAAAACACCAGTGCAGAGCAGAAGCCTTAGAGTTCTTCCTTCTGCAGCTTGCTCTGATCTCTCTCAAACTAACGTTTCTGATGGGTATAGTCTAGAACGCCATAGTCCACACACAGCTGTGGGCCATTTATAGTGTACAAAAACTATTCAGAGACAGAGCTTTACAGCCCTTTTCTTGCTATTGCTGTGGATATGGGAAGAACAGAAGAGCAGTTTTTAAAATACTTGCCATGTATCCCGTTTTAACCAATTGATGGCCATGTAGAAGGTGGATTCACTGTTGCATCCGAACCTTCCTTCACTTTCAATACATGTGCGATATTAGTATCAAAACTTATGACACTGTAACACAATGGCAAAAGATGAATGAGAGGGGCTAGTGGACACAGGTTTGGTACAGAGGATAGTAAAAATGTATTGAGGGATCAAAGAGAGGGGAGTAGGAAATAGAAAAAAGACAAGGGGAGACCGCAAGAAACTTGCAGGGAGGGGGCATTTCCCCCACCTTTGCTTCCCCCTTCCCCCTTCTCTGTCAAAGTTCCCTCCTGTCTTTCTGCACCCACCCTTATCTTTCAGTCTTCCCTCACTTTCCCCTCTCATCCCTTCTATCTTAGCTTTCCTCTCTACCCCCTTCTTTAGGAATTCTTTCTCGCCCCCTTTCTCCACTCATCACTTGTATGTCTCACCCCTCTCTTACCCCAGCCCTTCTCAGACAATGTCCTCTTTCCCCCACCCCTTCTCAGTCTGCCCCCCCTCTCTCACACACACACACACCGTCCCCCTCTTCAGCCTCCTTTTCTGCAGCTTCCTCCTTTTTCTGGCAGTGGGGAGGCCGCTCGCCTGGGAGGGATCTGGCAGTGGCGTCCTCTGCCCCGCAGCTCCAGGGCTGCCTTGCTGGCGGTGGGGAGGCCAGCTTCCTAGGAAGGACCCGGCGACATCGGCATCCCCTGCCCCGTTACTCCAAGGCTGTCTTGCTGGCTGCGGGGAGGCCAGCCACCAAGCGAAGCTCCAAGTCCAGCACGAGGAACCATGAGTTTGGTTTGCACAAGTGCAGACAACTCAGTTTTTTTATTTGGGGGGGTTAACCCCCCTGTGTATGTTTTTTAACTTTTTGCATTTTTTTGCAACCCTGGAGAGTACTCCAAGTGTGCAAAAAAACCTCTTTAGCCTCCAGGTTCCCTTGTTCTGTGGAAATAATTATTCACATGCAGAGGGACACTTGGCTATTAGATATATAGACTGTATGACCTACTTATTCCTCACAGATGGTATGAAGAATAAAAGGATGACTGGGAAGTCCTAGGACTTCCTCCGAACTCCCATAGTTGTTAGAAAGGTAGGAGCATTCTTCAGTACTCGTAAACATTTTAAAACAGAGAAAAGCACAAATTCCCAAAGTAAAACCTGAACAATTATGATATACTTGTGGAAGGGGAATCAGGGAAGAAAATAGCTGAATAATTATAAGTACAAGAAAAAGCAAAACTTTATGTTTTAGCATTGTAATACTGTTGATATTGTTTGGGTTTTGTTGTAATGATTTTTAAAAAATGTATTATGTTGGTGTACTGTCATTTTTGAAGTACCCCAATAGCTTCTGCATGCAAATCACTGTGCTTTGGCATTGAATTACAGTTTTTTCTTTTGTGAACAGGTTTTCTCACTCACCCTTCCAGGCAGACCAAGGCAGACCGTTGTGCTCAGCAGCTCAAGGTCAATGGTCACACACACCTCCGCCACTATTCCTGTGATGGTCGACTTGCCAGGGCCAAACTGTTTGTTCACCTCCCTGTAACAGTTTGTGCCGGCAAGCCACCACAGGGTTATGGCCACACACTCCTCCATGGTGATGACACGCCTCATGGGTGTGTCTGTGTGAGTGATGTGGCCACAGAGGCAGTCAACTAGCCAGCAGAAAGTGGCCCTGGTCACCCAGAAGGTCTGGAGCCACTGTTCGTCCTCCCAAACTACGCAGATGAAGGTCTCCCAGCACTTGGTGGGGTGAGGGTACACCCACCAGTGCTGTGGTGCACCCTCTTCCCCTAATCTGACCACCCCAGCCATATCACCAGACTGTCTGGCCAGGTAGTCCCTGATCCTGGCTCTCCTGCGAGCCCGGTAGCGGCGCTGTATGAGCGCCCTCCGTGCTCTGGTGCTGCGGATCCTGGCCTGGTGGTACCGCATCACTGCCAGGCAAAACCTGACGCCCAGGAGCAGGGCAGCGCAGGCTGTGCAGTCCACCTCCATGCTGACTGACTTCCTGGCCTCACTCTGGCAGCAGGAAGATGCAGGTGATTGCTCTGGAGAGGTGGCAGTAATCTCTCTGGATATGCGGTGCTGTACCAGCCAATGCTGGCGGGGCCTGCGGGATCCTGCCCTATTTGCTGCTGTGGCCATGCACATAGGCGCATGCAGGCGAATGCAGAAACAGCCGCTAATAGCCCGCCTGGGGCGGGCCAACAGTGTGAATGCTCCCTCGCGCTTCTTCCACGGTATCCTCCTGCTTCATTTGCTGCAGTGTGAACGGGAATACCACAACCAAGCCGTTCCGGGTCTTCTTTGCCGCGACTCCCTAGCGCTGCAAACTGCCAGTCTGAATGCGGCTTATGTGTAGGAAAACACACAGTCTTCTGGTGAACATAAGTATTTTGTGACTGGGGCCATGATCTGGAGCTAACAAGGCAGTTCTTAATCAAATATTTCCTTATGAACTTTGTTCTAAACTTCTCTCTCTGAATACATTTCAGGTTACTACCAGTGCGGAAATCCTTACAAATCGAGGTGTCATTAATCAGTTTATGGGATATGTAAGCTGTGCCATGAAGGACTATCAGCAGGCAATCACTGTTGATCCTGACTATGCTTTAGCGTACTTCAATGCAGCAAATGTATACTTTCTTAACAGGCAGTTTTCACAGGTCTGATTTGATTTTGTTGTTACCTACTATTTCCCAGAACATTTTTCCTTGGCTTTAACAATTATTTCATCTGAGGCTGCTAAGAGCCACCATGGCCCCCCAGATAAAAATTAAACCTCCCACACCATTTAGACAAATACACACCAACTGGGAAGGCTTGGTTTTAGTTAGACATGTTTAGTTTTTTTTAAAAAAAGATTTAACTACAGTCTTAAAACATACAGCTTAAGAACAGTTGAACACCCCAGTCCCCCAAGTTTACCTTATACAAGTGTAGAGGAGGAGGGGAAGGAGAGAAGGATACTGTACTGGCTTGCAGGATCTGAGTAACAAGTTTCAGAAGTCAGGCAGGGCGGGGTCGTTCAGTCCAAAGTTAAGGTTCCAGAAGTCAGGCTAGGCAAGGTCGTTCAGTCCGAGGTCAGGCTTCCAAGAATTCTTCGAGGGCACCCTCTGGAGGCCTTCCTTAAGCTGCACCTCTGATGGACTGCCCAGCTCCACCCCATGCTCTGCCACTGGCTAGATCCTTTGTTCATTTTTATCCATATAATAGTGACATGTATATAAGGGATTTATGGGTTTACTATTGCATGTTTCTATGGCAAGTCCCTTTCTACTGATTTCTTTTTAAGCAACCAAACATGGGCATAGAATCTGCCCAGTGCCACTTTATTGTTGTGTATTATTTATGCATCCCATGACATGCTATAATAGTCATTTTTTTCCAATGCCATTGAAACCAGTACACTGTACAGTATCTAATCAAGGTAGATAGAAGAGCTGGTAGTGCAACTGTGGTGCATAATAAACTTGTAACAGGGTTGTGAATAGACTAGGTAGTAATTTTCAGAATGCCTCATTACCACTTCTGTTTTGTTCTGAAGACACAAACAGAAAGGACCGTAATGCTGTTAGCAAAAAGAAGAATATGGTAATGTGTCAGATGAAGACAGACATTGTTTGGATTAACATAAGAACATAAGAGACGCTAATGTTGGATCAGGCCAAAGGCCCATCTAGTCCAACACTCTGTCACACAGTGGCCAAAAATACCAGGTGCCATCAGGAGGTCCACCAGTAGGGCCAGGACATTAGAAGCCCTCCCACTGTTGCCCCCCCCCCAAAGCACCAAGAAGACAGAGCATCACTTGCCCCAGAGCCCCTATCTATACCTTGTGGCTAATAGCCACTGGTGGACCTCTGCTCCATATGCCTATCTAATTCCCTTTTGAAGCCGTCCATGCTTGTAGCCGCCACCACTTCCTGTGGCAGTGAATTCCACGTGTGAATCACTCTTTGGGTGAAGAAGTACTTCCTTTTATCCATTCTAACCTGACCGCTCAGCAATTTCATGGAGTGCCCACGAGTTTAACATCTCTGTTAAAGTCATGGTACTGAATTTTCCTCTCAGTATTTTATCCAACTAACCACATTAATACTATGATGGAAGAATACTCAAAAGGAAGAAAATTCAATATACTAACTTTAATGGAGGTGCTATTATTATTTTCAAAAAACAATTTAGAACAGGTAACCATTAGCGTTGTTTCTCATCATAGTAATGATTTCCGAAACAAAACTGGTAAATAAACAAAAAGTTCCATTGATTTTGTATTTAACTCATTCCATAGGCAAAAGACTATTATTCCAGAGCACTGACACTTGATGCAAAAAATGAATCTGCATTCTTGAATCGAGCTATTACAAATACACTATTGAAAAACTTTGAGGAAGCAAAAGCAGATTTTGAGAAGGCAGTTTGTCTCAGCCCTTTCTCTGCAGCTGTATATTATAACAAGGCAAACCTCCACAACACATTAAAGCAATATGAGCAAGCTGAGGAGGACATTTCAAAAGGTATGCCCAGTGCCTGGGAGTCTTCAGTTACTAATGCTTGCCTTTATGCCTCTTTATTTTAAAAAGATATCTCAGGAGGCCAACATAGAGCTGTAAATTGCTGGTCCAGAAGGAAATCCATGTATACCTAATAATGTTGCATGGGGTGGGAAATGTGGACTCATCAGTATTATGCAGTGTTCTTGCACAAATTGCTGGTTGTCACTTCAGGTCTCACAGCTCAATTCTCTTGACTGATTCATACATCACAAAGCTCATGTGGTTCTGTGCTGGGAATTGAGTTCTCAACTACACAGGGCCTGATTCATATCATGGCAGTGGTGCATGGGAAGAAGGACCTTAAGCTTTGCATAGTCCTCTTTACTGTTTTTCTGACAGAAAATGACCCCAGGAACCACTAGCGGGGAAACTTACATGTAATTCACATAAGTTGCCCCAACAGGGCAAATAGCCCCCTTGGGGGCTTTTTCATGTTGCAGAAATGGGGGCAGAGGCTTAAGCCCCTTCTCTGTGCAGGCTGTGATGCCAATTTAAATTGGGCTTCTGTGAACCTGAGAACTGAGTTCCCAGCATGAAGCTCCAGGCACATTTCTGTCTCTCTCCCTCTCTGTCTCCTCAGACACAAACAAAAGGTATGTATTGGCTCTCGGTATCTCTTTTATCCCTTCACAAATGGGTAATCGGCACTCATGTAGACAGCCCCAAATGTCTGTTCATTTGGGGAGATACATGTACTCAGCCACATATATTAAACCAGCAGCTATGTACAAGCATCCTTTGATCAGAGCTACAAGAATATCTTAGATGCTTACAAATTGGTTTCAAATGTCTTATTACAATCTGGAGCATCCTGCTAGAGAGTCACCAAATCCAGGTTTCTTCTAGAAATAAAGCAATTAGGTTAATCAAAAAGGAATAAAGTAATATTTGTGGGCAAAATGGATTGGATTTAGTGCTTCTGTGAATAGAGTGGGTTCACAGTTGCCAGGTTTATTGGCTTCCCCCTGACACAGCATCATCATGAAAAGCCACTGTGGTGGGTCAGGGACTCTCCAGAATTGTATACCATGTGGCATGAGGGATTGTTAGCAGAAAGAGAGATTCAATAGTAATCAATCCCCTTTCTGCTTGACTTTGTACGGGAGGGGGGGGGCTTGCTGCCAAGACATGGTTCCTTCTTTCTGCATTTCCCTGCCACATACTGTTCTAAAGAGTCCTCTGACCCTCAACATCAGCTTTTGGGATGGTTCACTGGGTTGTTGGAGGAAGCAAGTATATGGCTGCAGGATCCACCCCCTCCCTATGTAGCATCTATGAACTTTTATTTATTTGTAATGTCTTTGTGCTGCTTTTCTACCTAAACAGGGTCCCCCCAGGCAATGAACATCAAAATATTAAAACATTTCAGCATCAAAACAACATTTTAAATAAAACACATGTAACACTAAAAAGTGGGAGGAGAGCCAATAACAATTATTGGGGTATGCAAAAATAAAGTCTTTACCCACTTCACAATTATTGAATCTAACCATATATTTTATATGGTTGGATCCTATAAAGTATGAGCAATTCTTCTCCCACCCAGCACCTACCATAAGACCAGTGTTCCCTCTAAGCTGAGTTAGTGTGAGCTAGCTCACAGTTTGTTAGCCTCCAGCTCACACATTTTTGTCTTAGCTCAGGAAGGATGCCTCCAGAGCAAACTAACATATGCAGTAGCCAAATCGGTCACTCACGACTTTAATGCTAGTAGCTCACAAAGTAGAATTTTTGCTCACAAGACTCCAAAACCTAGAGGGAGTATTGCATAAGACCTCCAGAAATCTGTTTCAAGGTTACAGGTTTCTGTGGAGGAAAGGCCATGAGACCATTGGGGTTGCAGTAAAGAGAGCAAACTGGGCAAAATTACCTCCACCTCACTCTTGTACCAATGGAGCCTTTGCACCAGTGGTAATACTACTGGTGGAAGAAGGCCTGATTCCCCCTTCTCACTGCACCTTCCAGGGCCCATGTGACATGTTTGTTCATGTGGATCCCACGTCCTCCAGCATCAGCTTTTTGCAGGCTTCAGGAAGTTGCTGGAGGAAGGAGGAGTGAAGGAAAGATCAACTGGACTCAACAAGCTCCATTGCATTCAAAGGTCATGCCATGTCCAAATTGTACAGGCATTTTAGCTTTCAGATAAGTTCTTAACACATGCTTATTATATGTTTTAATAAGTTACCTAATAAAAATACTAAATACTTTTTACAGCTCTTGCAATTCAGCCTTATGATCCCCTGATGTATAAACTTAGAGCTGATGTTCGTGGCAAACTGGGTTTCATTAAAGAAGCTATAGCTGATTATAAGAAGGCTATCAATATTCAAGAATTTATCTTCACAGGGTGAGAAATTTTCAGTACATAACAATATCATAGCTTATGTTACACTGATTTTTCTAGTTCCAGTTGTTTGCTGCCGCCTGTATTGTTGTCACTAATGTATTAAATTTGTGGCCATAATTTACCTTTGTAGTTTAACTTTTGTACTAATTTTTATTTGTATAACTAAAACAAGGAAAATTTAAGTGAAATGTACAACTCAAGCATTTTTATATATAGCAGAAAAATGTGTACTTTTGTTCTCAGAACTGTCTTTATTGAAATTTTCTTGAGCTGAATTTTGTATTCATGTTGTTCATAAATGTTGTTCATGGTATAATAAATAAATAAAAAACACTGAGTGTTAGAATTCATACAGAATGTGTTTTTTAAACTTTATTCAAACCAATACATTACAAAATTCATATACCAAACGTAAGATAACAAATCTAAATATACAAATATAGCGCATCAAGGAAATGTCAAATACTCAGTATGACAAGGTTTCCATCTCTCCCAAGTCCATCACAACTTGTTCTTTGTGGGAAGGGAAATATCTCAGGCAAATCAATTTAATAACATCAATTTAGTCCAATTCTTCTCTCCTGAGGCCATCACAACTTATTTTTTTGTGGGTAGGGAAATATCTCAGACAAGCCAGTTTGTTAACTTTGATTTAGTCCAGTCCAATAACTATCTTGTCTGGTCATGTTGAGGCACAAAGCTTAAAAAGGGAAATCACACAGCCTCAAAATTAGTAGAATAAGAATCTGATTCTGTATTTTGAATTTTTGTGGCCACTTTTTCTAAAAGGCATAAATCACATTTTTTTTTGGTACCAATGGTCTATATGTAGTGGTACACCTCTTCCATTTTGGGGCAGTTACCAATTTTGCAACAGTATATGGTGTTGTGTAGTGAGAGCTTTAAATGAACACTCATTGTTAGAGAGGCTCCTTGTAGCTACATTCAGATTGGCTGCCCTTGCAGAGCCAGCCAATCAGGTAGCAGGAGCCTAAATAAGGCCATTCAAATGAAGGCTCCAAGCAACTATGTTCCTATCGGTTTATTTGTATTTTTTGGGTGTGTTCTGGGCTGGGGTTTCTGTATATAGTTGTGGCTCAGCACATGTGTTGTTGTGTTTCTAAATAAAAGAGCTATGCTGAAATCACAATAGACTCTCAAACCCACTACTTAACACATAACAATGCCACTAGCTCTTTTTTCTCCATTGAGATTTCCCTATCCAGCCACAAATTTAAAAGTAAAACTTCTGCCTTGAATGATATATTATATGAGACAATCTCACTGATTTGAGCATGTATCATCCGCCAGAATGTCTGTATGAATTTATACCAACAATACCAACAGGTGCCTATTTCACTACAACCACGCCAACATACTGGGGAGGAAGATAGATGTAGATAGTGCAGCCTTTGAGCTGGCAGCAGCAGCGGTGCCTGGAATCTGCTCCAAGCCTGGAGCAGCTCCCAGTGGTGACCAGGCCTGGAGCCTCTTCCAGCGTTCCCTGCTGCCGTGGCCAGGTCTGGAGTGGCTGCCGGTGTTTCTTGCTGCCATAGTCAGGCCTGGAGCCTTTCTTGGCATTCCCTGTCATGGTGTTCAGCCTGGAGTGGCTCTACAGGGCCAGCTGCAACAGCCACACCCTGAGAAGTAACTTGTGTTGTCTGCACATGCAAAGACAACGATTTTTATTTGGGGGAAGATTGAACTCCCCCATGATTTTTAAAAATATTTCAGATTTTTCTGAACACCTGGGGAATCCCCCAAGTGTGCAGACAGATATGCTTAATCTCCATGTGGCCCCAATCCTCAGATTTAGATAACTGCAGATCCCAGCCATGGGTGGCTAATAGTATAACTATCAGTATTATGAAACTAATAACCAAACATTAGTTCCTGCCTTTTATTATATAATCTGTGAAGGAAATAAACACCAAGGTCTCAAGATTATTGACTCCATAATAGGCAAAAGATCTTCAAACTGATTAACGGAAGTCAATATTGTATTTATTTTTGAAATGTTGATTGTTTGCTCTTGGATAGCTCAAAGCAAAACTATTCACTTCTTTTCTATAGAGCTCAGGCTAAGCTTCTGAAATATTTTGTATACAGGTATTTCTGCATATTTCGCTCTCTTTTCTAATTTTGATTGTCTTCAATGAGACTACATTATTTTTGTGTGAACTGCATGGGAACAAATAATCTGTGGTGGATTCCAGAGTTCTTTTAAGATTCCTGGGCATGCTTCATCTCTATTGAGTGACAATTTTAATTGATTTCCTCAGGTCAAGGGAGGGGAGCATACCATTCTCCGGTGGTCCAGGAGTGGGGCACTCCTTGACTCCTTATTCCTGGGAAAGCCTCTTCTCTTCCGTAAACAGGGCCGGCCAAACTTGATCCCATGGAGGAGGATCTTATCCTCTGATCCCAGTCTTACTGGCCCTGCTTTCGGAGCATGACGTGCTGGCTGTGCTCTGCGAGCACAAAGATCCCGGAAGACTTCAAATCGATGACAACAAGAGAAAAGGCCCTAGTGGAAGGTACTTCTTTCCTGGCCACTGCATCTGTGATAGATGTTTTTATTGTGACTCCGACGCTGGCTGCACTGGGACCCAGGTGGCCACGACGTCAAGGAAGCCTCTCTGGGCCCCGCTGGGAGTGCAGGTGCGGCTAGCTTCTCCCCTTCTGACCCCCTGTCTGACCACGGCTTTTAGCAGCGGCTTGGGGGTGAGACGATGTTTGAAAAGATTGGGAGAGCGGAGCCCTAGAGAGACGGCCAAGGGAGGCGTGGGAGAAACCGTCGCCTTTCCTTTCGGCGCACCAACAGACCCCTCTCTTGCTTACAGTGGTGGCAAGGGGGAAGGAGCTCCAAAGCAGTCTACCTGATCACCTGAGTCATGGTAGGACTGTGTACAGCAAAACGCATGGGCGATGGGGGAAATATTGTTGCGGAAGACTGTGTTTCTGTATTCACTGCATCTGAATTGTGTGTCATGCTTGATTCTGCACATTGTAGAATATGCACAATTCTTTGTTCAGAGGGTCTCTCTACTTGTTAAGGACAATCTGTAAGCAATTAAATTGAACTAGTGTAGAATACTGAGAATCTTCACATTCGTTAACAAAACTTTGTTGAAGCAAACTCACTAGCATATATCCCTCAGTGAAAGCTCTGCAATCCCAACAGGGAGTGCCCCTCTGGTCCTTCATTTTTCATCTGTTCAGAAGATTTGAGGACAAATTCTTCTCTTTCAGGAAAATGTAAACAATGACAATCTAATAAATCAACAATGGACTTTTCTGGAAATTTCAGCCCCAGAAGACTAAATGCAGTTTTTATAACTATATAGCATTTTCTGCTCTGGAGAGGCAACATCAAGTGTGATTAGCATTGTCTGGCCTATTCCTTCTGCTAATTCACTTGCTCAACAATGTGCTTGTTCCATTTTGTTTAATACTCTCATTCCTTTGTTTCCTCTCTTTTACATTTGTAAGCTGTTAACCTAAAACAATATGTTTTAGGATGTCATGGGAAAACATTTTCAAAAGATCAACTAAAGAAGTACTGAGCATTTTAAAGCATTGTCAGCACATGGTTAAGAGTAGAAATGTGATTAATTGATGTCCAATTAGAAATACTTATATAATTTAAATGCACTTCAATTAATTGCTTTGTGAATTGATCGTAAGTAACCTGCTCATCCACACATGTTGTTTTTTTTGTTAATAGCTAGATTTCTGTAGACCTTTGGCTGGGCCACATATGTATATTCATTTCTTGATGACTGCCACAATCAGTGGCTATTTGCATGTATACGTGAGCCTTCTGTATCAACTATCACAGATAAAATTTTCAGGTGATCTTGCCGTTTGGTGTGAGAGCCAGTTTGGTGTAGGGGTTAGGAGCGCTACACCATGCCTCCTCATGCAGCTGCTGGTGTGACCCTGGGTCAGTTACAAGTTCTTTCAGAACTGTTTTCTCATGAATAGTTCTCAAAGAGCTCTCTCAGCCCCACCTACCTCACAGGGTGTCTGTTGTGGGGAGGGGAAGGGAAAGGAGATTGTAAGCCGCTCTGAGACTCCTTCGGGTAGTGAAGAGTGGGGTACAAATCCAATCTCCTCTTCTCTTCTTCTTCTGCATAACTTCTGCAACGCTTTGGATGACATTTATACATCCCAGTAAGAGTCAAAGATTGCATCAACAAAGTGATGCCCATGCATTTGTGCATAGAATCAGTGACTTTTTAAAGGAGATCACAATCTCAGTGAAGATGACTGCTTATGTTTAACACTATTTGATGAAGCATATACACTGATTCTTAAAGTGGAATTTCTCTAACTCCTATAAGAAATCCTTCTTGAGGGGCAGGTGGAGAATGCCAGTAGCTTCCTTGTAACACTTTTTCAGTTATTTTCCCTCAACTCCTATATTTATTAGAGAAGAACGGGATTAGTTTAATTCCCCCCACTGGAGTATTTGGTCTGGCCAAGAGAAGCGCTCAAAACAATAGTAGTTGCATCTCAGTGTGTACACATTGCATGCATGTATTGCATGCATTTGACCAGAAAAAGACAAGAATATCCAGAAGTAGGGAAA